ATACTCATGTCGTTTTTAAAATATTTGTTTTTTTTCGAATTTTGCCAATTCCAAAATTATTTTTCAAACTCACAGAGAAACATAGACACACACACACACACACACACACACACACACGCACACACACACACACACACACACATATATATATATATATATATGTTGTTTATCATTTGCTATATTTATGGGGGAAGAGTGCTCAATATCGGAAGGAGAGAAAGAGATTTCTATGTTCATCTATCTATCTATCTATCTATCTATCTATCTATCTATCTATCTATCTATCTAGCTAGCTAGCTAGCTAGCTAGCTATCCTTAAGCTAACTTGATGTCTTCAATAAACAGTGCCTTCGTACAATCTGTGGCTATTAGCTGAAAGCCAAAATATCAAAATACTGCTGCCCAGTCTTCACTTGCCTCCCTTGTAGAGTCCAAAAGCGACTCCGCGTCCCTATGGGCGATGAATTATTTTTCACCTTACAGCCCCCTTTCTAACAAACGAGACGTTACAAGCCTCTCACTACTCTGCATAGAGAGTGTTCAGATGAACTACACCCCTTAGTTGCACCAGACATAACCGTCACGGCTAAGACCCACCATGCCACGCACATTGTAGCGAACCAGCCTCATTCCCTTCGTATTCTCTTGGTGAGATGTAATTTCAACTCAAGCAGTTTCTTCCCACTGACTTTGTGGAACCGACTGCCAAGAGGTTTCTTGCTCGATCACTACAAACTTAACCTGTTCAAGTTTAGCGTTGAACGTTATATTCCACAAATATCTGCATAAGCTCTATCTTCAGTGGCTCTCGGGCCTTGTACAGGGTGAATATCAATGGAAAAAATGAATCTATTTTCTAATGGACATGAGTGATAAGCACATTGAAAATTCCTCATATACAGCTAACTGCATGACTGTTCTTGGAAAGTAGGAAGACCCCTGCTGAGGTACAAGCATATACTTAAGTAAAATTTGAATTCTATTGACATACCGCTGAGAAGTGACTTCTTATCGTGACAAGTGGAAGAGTGTGTGTGCCTAAAAGGCATTACAAGTTTTGAGAGGTCACGCATTGAACAGCTCCGTATTACAAAGCAGATCACTAGACATGGCTCTAAAACTCCTGCAGCATTCACATGGGGTGCTGTTCCTTGTCTTATATGTGGAATGTTGCGTATGTCTCATTCAAACTTTAAATGTTATTGAATGCATAAAAAAAGTAAAGTAGTCCTGGGTATGACGATAAACTACAACCGGCCGCAAGCCACTGAACGGGAGATTGAAGCCTTTGAGGAGCGAGGAAACACATCACAATTGCTGTTGTTCCCAGGCCCACCCTGACCTGGGGTGGTAGTACTAGTTAGGCTCCGAGCTATAGACAAATAGTGAACCAGCAAACAAAAGACTGAAAGTATAAAAGATAAATCTTATATAGAAAAATTACCAGCAATGCATATTTATTAGTAAAATGAAAAAAAATAGATTTTTTCTGTGGTTGAAGGGATACGACTGCGTTCAAAATATTTAGATTTCGGCATTAAATAACCCCTAGAGGTGTTGATATGCCGCTAAATAAAATCAACTAACCAACAAATGTAAGGCATCAAGCGTCCAATATACTGTTGAACTTTCATATGTCGAAGACGAAGAGTGAATCTATAATCTGTATATATATATATATATATATATATATATATATATGTGTGTGTGTGTGTGTGTGTGTGTGTCTGTGTGTCTGTGTGTGTGTCTATATGTGTGCGTGTCTATATATATATGGCATGTAGGGCATCAAGGACCCAATATACTGATGAACTTTCATATGTCGAAGACGACGAGTGAATCTACAATGTCTGTGAATATATATATATATATATATATATATATATATATATATATATATATATATGTGAGTGTGTGTGTTAATTCAATTTAAATAGAAAACAGTCAACATTAAGGGCCCATTGGTTATAATTTATTTTCCCAGGTATAAAGCTTTTACCTGGTTCATCAGCCCACACTTACAAGGGTGAAAAAATTTACATATAATTTTTATATACTTTTGAGGGGTATTTTTAAGTTGATATATAGAGAGGGAGAGGGTTAGTATGACAGATATGGTCTAAATTGGAGAGAGAAGGGAGACACAGGAATAATTTTAAATCTATTTTTATTAAAACACTTAAGAGTGAGGGATGGGGTAAGGACATTGATCTATTTAATAAGCCAACTCACAGGAAACGAGTTAAGGTGAAAAAAGAGAAGTAAAGATATAAGAAAGCAGAAGTGTAAGTAGGGGTGTGAAGGAAGAAAAGGGAATAGAGAGCGTGTAAAGAATAAAAGAAAAGGAAGAATAAATTAACATATATGGGCATATTACAATGAATTAAAAAAAAAACAGATTTATATATTTGGCAGTTATATATGCTTATATATTTGTATGTGTGTGTGTGTGTGTGTCTGTGTCTGTGTCTGTGTGTGTGTGTGTGTACCGATTTTATGTCCTCCAAAATATATACTCATAATTTAATAACCCTATCGAAACGGCTAGGTCATTTTTCTTCCATCAAAATGCAGATAACAAAATCAAACTAGTACAACAGTTCAAATATCTAGGAACATATCAGAAATTGCAACACTGAAATCCGAAGGCACATTGGGATAGGGAAGGACGCTTTCTAAAAACTAAGCAAATTAATAAGAAACAGAAAAAATTCGTTAGGAAGAAAGAAAAGAGTACTGAACTGTTAAGTAAAGACAGTCCTCCCAAATAGCAGTAAATGCGGGGCGATCTCCTCACAGAAGAAGAGACTTGAAGCAACAGAAACGTGGTTCAACAAACGACTGCCGAGAATACCATGTACGGAATATGTAAGCAATGACAACGTTTTAGAGAAAATGGAAACAAAAATAACACTTATATTTAACATCAGGAAGAGACAGTTGAAATTTGAAAAGCACAGAGTGAGGAAGGATGGTTTGGAAAATTTGATACTCATAGGGCAGACTGAAGGCAAGAAGGATAGAGGAAAACAATGCATAACCTAAACAGTGAGCTTGAGTAAATGTATGGCCGAACAGGATTTAGGAGAGATATTAAAAAGATTAAGAGGTACGAAGAATAGGAAATTGCGGAGAGCCATGATCACCAACGTCTAAGAAGTGACACAGCACATAGAAAAAGAAGGAGAAGTAGCTGGTAATGTGCACATATATTTATATGTACACTGTGTACTAGTTTATGTAACCACAATTTTATGTTCCTGTATAAAAAGACTGTATTATTATTTGCTGGTGTGTAACATCAATACCCGTAAGATTAAATCTTTATGTATCATTTTATATGCTTCCCTGTAGAAGTGGCAACAGTATTGTATCATTTATAGTTATCTATATATCACATTGTCTGAAATTATTTTCAGGCATAGGCCGAAGTACTGAATTATTTATAGTTACCTGTATATCAGAAATATCTGAAATTATTTTCAGGCATAGGCCGAAGTACTGAATTATTTATAGTTACCTGTATATCAGAAATATCTGAAATTATTTTCAGGCATAGGCCGAAGTACTGAATTATTTATAGTTACCTGTATATCAGAAATATCTGAAATTATTTTCAGACATAGGCCGAAGTATTGAATCATTAATAATTACCTGCATATCACATTGAAATTATTTTCAAGCATAGGGCGCAGTATTTGATTATTTATAGTTACCTGTATATCAGATTGTCTGAAATTATTTTCAGGCATAGGCCGCAGTACTGAATTATTTATACTCACCTGTATATCACATTGTCTGAAATTATTTTCAGGAATAGGCCGCAGTATTGAATCATTAATAATTACCTGTATATCACATTGAAACCATTTTCAAGCATAGTCCGCAGTATTGGATTATTTATAGTTACATGTATATCACATTGTGTAAAATTATTTGACGAAATATTTTCATTGTCTCATAAGTTATTTCAATTAATATCCATAACACACCCCAGTGAAACGACGTGTCGCGCCGAATAGGGAATTTTTTTTGGTGGGGGGGTGTTGTGAGAATAGCAAATGATGATATCTCACCAGCGTTATATCCATAACTGCTTTTATCACATTAAGCGAGTTCATCAGTTTTGCAATTCGATCTTCTATTTCCAGGATTCGAGCTTTCCTCGTTTATATAACAACTAACTCGCAAAATGATGAAGCATATATAATGGGTCATCATTCTCTGCGTAAACGAGTGAATGTTATTGTTGTGAATAAAATTTATTATATATTAGCAAATGTTTGTTGCGCTTTATTTCTTTATTTCTCTCGACTTAAAAATGTTTTAAATACGCATCTTTATTAAACTCAAAGAGAAAATAGTAACATAACGAAGATGTTAACCTTCCACACTACTTCGAACAAAAGGTTAGGAAGGAAACCCCCATCAATACCAGAAACTGCAATAAACAATTATTTGACTTGAGAGACCTATTTTCCTGAGTAATTGTTTTATGAAAAATTAAAAAAAAATTTAAACCGACACTAGCCCTGGCTAGTCGGTCAATGAATGACGAATGTTTCTTTATAAGGAAACATCAAATCTTACCATTGCCATCGCCATACACAAATTCACAATTTATTGCTTCGTGAGCCTTTCAGAAGAATAATTTGCTAAAAAAATACACTGACGAAAAAAATTGGTAAATATGGAAGGAAGGAAAAAGGAGAAGAAGAAAAAGAAGCAGCATGCAATTTATAAGCGCAATTTCAAGGGGGTCATTCTACTTATGCATAAAAGCCTGCATAAACCCCAAAAGCCACGTTTAAAATTTCTATACCAGTTTGAAAATTATACATCAAGAGTTAAAGAAATGTGAATATTGAAATAAATTGGCTTCTGAGCAACTCACAAATACAAATCCTTTTTACTGAAGATCCCTCAAGTTTATGTAAGAAAAGATTTACCATTTCAACACAAAAATGAAATCTTTGGCTTTAGGCGACTTTCGGACTCAAATGCCGTTTCCAGAGGAGCTTCCTATTTCATGCAGGAAGGTCATACAAAAACTAACTCCTTGTTTTCCATTAAGGTCCGAATTCAAATTTCTTTCCCAGAAGAGCGTCATATTTCATGTAGGATTGTCTTGACATTTCAGAACAAAATCTACGATTTTTAGATCAGTTTTAATAATTTATCTCATATATTCCACCACTGATTTTAATCATGATTTCTTTGATGAGCTTCTTTAAATACATTATATTCCTATTTATTTTCTTACTACCATTGTAATTGTAGTAGTTTTAGCATTGCCATACTATTTCATAGCTCTTTGCAATCTATAATACTTTCTTAGTATACTAAATATTGATATTAGTTTGCTAAGTTTCTGTCTATATTTCTGAGATGAGGTATTATGTACATTATTTACATTATTCGGACTATTGTCCTCATCTTTGCCGCCATATTTATTACAATGTTTCGGCCGTTGTACGCTCCAGCCTTCTTCAGGTGGTTGGAATGTCGAACTGAACACTATTTTTCTCACTGGGGTAGACTGTTCTAGTTCCACGTGCCATGTTTAATGTCAGTTGTCAGTTATCTCCTGTTAATTTCCCTCTGATAGTTCTCCACTGCCTTAGCCGGTTATTGAACCCACACTCTTTGGTTCTGTCACTGGATCTGACTAACGCCTTTATCCACTGTGCCATGTGTCCTTCAGGATACATGGCACAGAGTATGAGTTCAATACCCGGCTAAGGCCGTGGAGAACTTTCAGAGGGAAAATTAACAGGAGATAACTGACAACTGACATCCATTAAACATGGCAAGTGGAACTAGAACAGTCTACCCCGGTGAGCGAAATAAGAGGTTCAGTTCGACATTCCAACCACCCGAAGAAGGCCGGAGCGTACAACAGCCGAAACGTTGTAATAAATATGGCGACAAAGATGAGAACAATACTCCGAATAATGTAAATAATATTTCCTAAATTGTGAATAAATTTGAATATCAGTTCTCCGACGTAGATACTTTCGCATTTGTCAGACATTAGTGAATACTATAATTATTATTTTTGTAATGAACAACGATTGTCTGTTCGGCAAATCCTTGGTAGAAACACAATCTAGAAGGCAGAATAATACCATGTATCCAGTTGTTCTGAAAGCAAGTTTTTTTTTGTTTATGAAAGTAGAGCTATTATATATGACAATAAAAATAAGAAAGGAAGTATTTTCAATTTGATCAAATCTTAATGAGAAAACTTGATGAATGCGCGTAATAAATAAAAAGAAAACTATGCAAACATTTAGGATTATGGGTAAAAAAATTGAATAAAAGTTCAGAGGAGTTCCCACTATTTGGTATTTTTGTGCTGCATGTTGGCACATATGAGGTACATTTTTCTGCTTGGCTGAGAAAGAAGGAAAATAAGTCGATGGGAAGTGGCTTTAGTTATACGCTCTTTCATTTAACTCCATTCATCTTGAATTTAATGCCACTTAATTATTAATTTCCTCCACCTACCAATTTACACTTTCTCTCTTTCTTGCTTGCTTTCTTATTTTTAAGCTTTTAATAATTTTACCAAATTATCCTTCATTTTTTATTTACGCGTTTTTTTAGTTTGTTTTTTCCCTTCTTTTCTTCTTTAATTCCTTGCTTTCTTTCTATCAATCCGTTCGTTGCTTTATTTCTTCTTTTCTTTCTCCATGAATTCTCTTTCTTTTTTGGTACACTTCTTCTTTTTTTTTTATTCAGTAAGCAAATTTATTTGGATTTCCTTAGTTTCTTCTTTTTGGTCTGACATTGCTTTCAAGCATCTTCCTTTCTTTCTTTCTTTTATAATAAAATTTACATATTGGATCAAAGCATTTTTCTCTTTACTTTCTTTTCTTTTTTCTTTATTATGCATTGCTTCTGGGCAATTTCTTTCTTCTTTCTTTCTTTCTTTCTTTCTTTATTTATTTATTTATTTTATAATAAAATTTACATATTGGATCCAAGTATTTTTCTTTTAATTTTAATTTAATTTTTCTTTTTCTTTCTTATGCATTGCTTCTGAGCAATTTCTTTCTTTCTTTCTTTCTTTCTTTCTTTCTTTCTTTCTTTCTTTCTTTCTTTCTCATTACATAGCTTCCCAGCATTTTTCTTTCTTTCATTCTTTCTTGCTTTTCATTTTTCTTTTTCTTTCTTATATATTACATTGCTTGTAAGCATTTTCTTTCTTTCTTTCTTTCTTTCTTTCTTTCTTTCTTTCTTTTATAATAAAACTAGCAGTAGAGCCCGGCGTTGCCCGAGGATATAACAGTAAGAGATAGATCAGGTATCGACCATCATAAAGACTGAAAAATAAAATTGACAAAGATTATTGTTTAAGGTTGACGGACACGCATCTCTTAATTATTTTTTTTTGTTGTTTTTTTTGTTTTTTTTTACGAATTGGTCAAACCCAAAGTCAAACAAAAACATTGTTTTCAATCGTTATGAGTCTACCGATTGAATAGAATTTTATTATCAACAATTGTCTTGTAAATGGAATTTTTAAAGCATTCTGAATGTAAAAATAAAGAAAAAAGTGTGCAAGACAATAAGAAACACTACCTATCAAAAAAAAGTGAAGTTTTGTTGAAATCGGTTGAAAAATGTAGGAAATCCGATCCCATATATAAACGAACACACACACACACAAACAACTTGGGTTTTATAATAAGTATAACTTGATATGAGTTGTCCCCCTTTCATTCTGGCGACAGAATCGTGTTTTCAAATTGATTTCGTGCAAAACCAAATGTGTATTTCCAATTTTTGGCGCTGTCAGAACCACCGCAAGATAATTTTACGCAGTCCTGTGAAGTTTTGTTGAAATCGGTGGAAAAATGTAGGAAATCCGATCCAATATATAAACGTACAGACACACACGCACACACATACACACACACACATACACAATCTGCGTTTTATAATAAGTAAGATTTACATATTGGATCAAAGCATTTTTCTCTTTACTTTCTTTTCTTTTTTCTTTTTTCTTTCTTATACATTGCTTCTGAGCAATTTCTTTCTCTCTTCTTTCTTTCTTTCTTTCTGTCTTTCTTTCTTTCTTTATTTATTTATTTGATAATAAAATTTACATATTGGATCCAAGTATTTTTCTTTTTACTTTCATTTCATTTTTCTTTTTCTTTCTTATGCATTGCTTCTGAGCAATTTCTTTCTTTCTTTCTTTCTTTCTTTCTTTCTTTCTTAGTACCTCTTTTGAACTCTCCAGTTGATTGTTTCTTCGTCTTCTTTCGAACTACTCCTCGTGAGAATACATTCATAACTGCATCACATTCTTTTTCCTGGGTTTAATTTTCGGCATCTGGACTCTGTTACCGCCCAATTAATTCATCCCACCCTTTCTTCTTCAACGCTTCATCAAATAATAATAATAATAATAATAATAATAATAATAATGATAATAATAATAATAATAATAATAATGGTGATACTTAAGATATTGATACTACTACTGTTGATGATGATATCAATGTTTACAAAAAATACACACACACACACGCATATACATACAGAGAGATGGCGATAAGCTACAACCACGACTACTAAATTTTTCCGTCAAATTTTGGCGGTTTCATCACATACATTTTGGTCGTAACCGAAGAGAAATGTGGATGACATCATTCTTTCTTAAGCCATCCTGATCTCTGATTGGCTGAATTCTCATTTAATTGTTCGCCATTTTCCTACAAAATTTTATATTCATATTTCATGCAATTTGGAATGCATAAGGAAACTTAAATTTTGGACTTATCCTTTTCAGTTTTTTAATTCATTCATTCTCATTTATTTATTTTTTATTTTCACCTTTTTCTTTTACTATTCTGTCATTGTATATTTATGTATGACTATTCTTACTTTCCAAACTTGTTGGTATGGCGCCTGTCTTCCAACTGAGGATGGCATGCTTAACTTGAAAATAAGCATTTGAAGTTGGATTTTTTAAACCAATCTCCAGCGGTGAAAACTGATCTCTAGTAGCAATAAGGGATACTCATATATCGCAGTTACAATACATATTTACTATTTTTGTATCTAAAGGGTGCTACACCCTGGGTAAGACGATAAACTACATCCAACAGCAAATCCTTTGATCAGTAGGCTTTGAGGAGCGTAGAACCCTCTCTTAAATGCTGGTGTTCCCAGGTCCACCCTGGCTCGGGGTGGTAGCACCTGTTAGGGTTCCAGCTATGGGTAAATAGTTAATCCCTAAACTGGGGTCAAAACACTATGAAAGTGTAAAAATAGGTTTTAATACCAGGAATACGTTTTTATAAAAAAAATTGCCAGCAATAAATTTTTGAAGGAGAAAATTATTACCAGCAATACATTATTACCAGCAATATATTTTTGAAATAAATATTACCAGCAATACATTTTAAAAAATGACCAGCAATGAATTTTTGAAAAAAAATATCACCAGTAATACTTTTTGAAGAAAAAATTACCAGCAATACATTTTTGGAAAAAAAAAAATTACCTGCAATAAAAATCTTGTCGGTATTAAATAACCCATTGAGGTTGATATACCGTAAAACAAACCAAACTAAACCAAACTAAAGGGTGAGGTAGGAATACCTCCAAGAAATACCACTCACATAGTGGTAAGACATTAGTGGCAATGGTGTCTTCATCTAGCTAATATCTTACCAATACGTGGATGGTATTTCTGCAGCATTCCGTATTATTCATCTCTCACAGCCAGAAACAATATATGACCATCTATCCATTTCATCCTTACGATTTTAGGAAAATTTCTATATTTATGGCAATAGTAATGAAACCAGTACCCATTTCCACACAGGAAGCATTCGGCATTACTGTCTGTTGAAATTTATAAAATCCTTCTCTTAGAACAGTTTTTCTCAAGTACACTCTTATCGTGCGTTTTAGTACTAATGGGAGTTTCCTTCTTAACTTTTTGTTTAAGGTGGTGTGGAAAGTCAGCATTTTGATCATGTCTCTATTTTTCCTTTTAAATCGATATGCTAGACCATTTTAATTGTTGCTGCTGGGAGTATTCAAGTGAGGTATCTCTTAGTCATAAGCTGACTGATTTTAAAATTTTTATTTGTTTATTTTCTTGCGTTTACATCCATGAAGCAATTTGCATGATTTAAGGTAATTCTGTTATGCAATTATTATTATTTTTATTTTCGTTGATTTCTGGCGTTTACACATTTCTTTCGGGGTCCCGCCCAGGGACCTACTTTCCACTGACAAAAAAAAAATTACATAGATAAAGCCCTTCGTAAAGTGTGGGCTGTAGTTGTCAGAACAATTTTTTGTATCTCCTTGAGGCATGGACTTTCAGGAATCCCTTCAATTAGTCTACTGCAACTTTTGCAACCAATCCTAGGGCTCCAACTACAACAGGGATTGTTGATGTTCCCATATGCCACATTTTCGAGATTTCTATTTCAAGGTCCTTGTATTTTGACAGCTTTTTGAATATCTTCAAAGATACAGCAGGGACTGCCATATCAATAAGGAGGCACCGTTTTTGTTTGTGGTCTTTAATAACAATATCTGGGCGGCTGGCTTTGATTGTTCTGTCAGTGTGTATTGTGTAGTCCCATAGAATTGTAACAGGTCCTATCTCCGTAACCGGGTCTGGGTGGTGTTCATACCAGTTTCTTTCAGTTTCCTTATTATTATTATTATTATTATTATATATTTTATCACATAGTTTAAGTTTTTGAATACATCGACTAAGTTATCTGTCAAGGACGTGAGACAGAAAACACTTTCCTCAAAATATGCGCAGTGCTCAAAAGAGCCTATATTGGATGCCTCCAAGTTGGTATGGTATCCCCAGTTGTTCAAGGAAGTCACATAGTTTTTATGGTATTGATTCCAAAGCGTCAATCAACATTGAAACCACCATGAAATTCCCTTCTTGCATTCCAAAAAAGCTTACCATATCAACTTTTTAAATTAGAATAGTTTGTAATTTTATCAATCAACTTGTTTGCTATACTTGTCATTTGGTATGGCAATATCAACAATATGACAGTTCTTGGTGACTTTTATCAGGCACAATAATATCCAGACTGCGATGATGTATCATTTTGTCTGTCTGAAAATCATAGTCCCAAAATATTATGGCCTTTCCATCTGAAAGTAATATGCTTGTACTAATATTTTGCAACGTGGTATCCATACTTCCGACACATTAACCAATGTACATAAAGACATAACATCGCGCCTTTTATATTCTTTTTGAGCTAGCACTTTTCAAGCAGTTAGCGAGTGAATCACATTCTCAGCGTCTTCACCTCACAGCCAACATTTTGGATCGATTGATTTTTTTGTATGCGGCGTTTTATGGCATTGATAGCAAGGGCTTGGTCTTGTGCTGCAATTGTCAAACTTTCAGTTGTGCGTTTCAGATCACCACGTCTCAGCCACGATGTTACTTTGCCTTTCACATCTTTTGTAAATCTCTTTACCTTAAATTGGCCATGCAGTGTCATTCGTAGAAAATCTAGCCTTCTCTTTTTCTCTGATTTTCTTTTCAATTCCTCTTTGTCAATGACATACTTTGCATAAATACTCCCCCTCTTTGTGGTGCATATCTTTTCCGATCCTCATCTGTGTTTTCCGTTCACTTCCAACACAATATTCAACACTTATAAGACCTCCACCTCCATCCTTTCTCTTTATATACAATCTGTCTACGTTTGCTTTTGGGTGCAAAGCGCCAAGTATAGTTATCATCTTGACCTTTCTTTTCAAGCTCTAGAATGTTTTCTTTCGTTAACTTAATAATGTACTGAAGCACTTGAAATCAAACTTCTTACATTCAAATTAAGTTTCAACATCAATTTCACTCTCTTCAAACAAGTCTCAAACTTTTATTTCATTTCTGTGTTCAACATAACATCAATTCCTAATATCTACAAATAATTGTAACCATAGACACCAGGTTCGCTTATAGATCATATAATTAGCAGAGATATTCCTCAACAAACCATATTCTTCCTTCGTTTCATGTTGAGGACTGAACATTTGGAAATACCAAACGCTATACCAATGCCATTTGTACATATATGAACCGTATATACATTAGTCGGACTATTGTCCTCATCTTTGTCGCCATATTTGTCACAACGTTTCGGCAACAAAGATGAGGACAATAGTCCGACTAATGTATATACTGTACATAATACCTCATCTCAGAAAAATAGACAGAATATGTGAACCGTTTTAACCAAGTGGTTAGTTTGGTTTGGTTTGGTTTACGGTATATCAACCTCAATGGGTTATTTAATGCCAACAAAATTTTTATTGTTGGCAATATTTTTTTCATATATCTATTTTTCATTCTGGTAATATTTTTTTTCCAAAATATGTATAGCTGGTAATATTTGTTTTTAAAAAATGTATTGTTGGTAATATTTGTTTTTCAAAAATGTATTGCTGGTAATAATTATTTTACAAAAATATTTTGCTGGTATTAAAACCTATTTTTACAACTTTTGACTCCGGTTTGGGGGTTAACTATTTGCCCATAGCTGGGACCCTAACAGGTGCTATCACCCCGGGTCAGGGTGAACCTGGGAACACCAGCAATTAAGAGGTGGTTCCACGCTCCTCAAAACCTCCTGATCAGAGGCCTTGCTGTTGGACGTAGTTTATCGTCATACCCAGGACGAAGTCAGTTTGAATTCCCAAAGAGTTTCAGGAGGTGATATATAAATGAACCACCCTTTCCAGTCAACTAAATCATCCTCAGCTTCGTCAGTATCAACGTGATGGGAATAAGTGCAATGACAGATAAAAGCGGTGAAAATGCGTCACCTTGAACGATTCCTCTTTTGATATATTGACATTTCCAAGAAATCATAATAATAATAAATTATTATTATTATTATTATTATTATTATTATTATTATTACGTTTTTCCTTTGCTTTGTACTGTACAGGCTGCCCACTTCTCAATTTCTTTTTGTATCAGAGGAAGCAAACAAAAGAATTGCTATGCAAAGTAAAAAAAAAAAAAAGAAATTTTGCTCACTGCATAGAAATAAACCTACGCAAGATATAAGACGTAACCATGAGTATGATTTTTGGCAATTCACATACTTTAGAGGTACCATGTATTTGATCCACATATTCGTTTCTTCTTTTTGGATATTATTAATTTTTATTATTATTATTATTATTATTATTGTCATCATCATCATCATTCGATTTCTGCTATGGACACACTACCTACCAAGTCTGCGGAAAGACCTAAGGCAGGTCGTGGTGTGTTGTTATGGCCACATTTCATGTTAAATTTTTTTTTT